ATATATATATATATATATATATATATATATATAATATAAATATTTATAAAATATATATATCATTTTAGCATGTATAATGGAGTCTTTTCACGTTTCCGGGTTTCTCAGTATTGGAAGTGGTCATAGTTAGTAAACTCAGAGCACAGTGAATGTGAGAGTACAACAAATCATTGCTTTACAATCCAATTTGCTGAAATAATGAAAGAAAAACTACACCATGGTGTTCTCAAGACTTTCAGAAAGAGGAAAACAATAGTGCGAGACTGATAACGGCAGCCAGAAGAGAGAATAATGTCAGATTTACTGTCCTGCACCCATAAACTCTGCATTACAAACACCTGATAGACGTTAAGACCTACAAGACAATTCATTAATCATTTTCTTTTCAGCTTAGTCCCTTAATCGACTTAGTCCATTAATCTGGGGTCACCACAGTGGAATGAACCGCCAACTTATCCAGCATATGTTTTACGCAACGGATGCTCTTCCAGCTGCAACCCATCACTGGCAAACATCTATACACACTCATTCGCACACATACACTACGACCAATTTAGCCTACCTGATTCCCTACAACACAATATTTCAGTGAATTTAAGACTGTTTAGGACCTAAAATTTATTTAGTTTTGTTCAACAGACATTAAGTTCCTAATCTGGATTTATGGCAAAATAAATAAACCAAATGAGCACCTGATATGAAGCCCATGAGCAGATCTGTGCTGGGTCTCGAGCGGTCGGTCACCATCACCCTCTTCAGTGTGTTGAACGTGTAGAAGTAGACAAAGTTAGAGCAGCACAGGCTGGAAATGACCGGGAACCAGCCCCGATACAGAGACAATCTGAAACGGAAAAAAGCAGACATTTAACGGTTTAAAATCACATTCATGTCAGTGAAATTGTACTATGGTGTGCACTAATCGAATTACAGATTCGTTGCAACATAATTAATTAAGCGGACACTTTATTAAATACACCTGTACAACTGCATTTAATATAAATATCTGATCAGCCAATCACAAGCTGTTAAAACTAGCCTAGAGCGCCGTCCGCTGTCAACACTAGCCTAGAGTGCCATCTACTGAGCAAAACTAGCCTAGAGCGCTGTCTGCTGTAAAAATTAGCATAGACAGACATCTGCTGTCGAAAAACTAGCCTAGAGCACCTTCTAGAGTGCCGTACACTGTTTAAAAACTAGCCTACAGCACTGTCTGCTGTTCAAAATAGAGCAGCATCTACTCTTCAAAACTCGCCTAGAGCACCATCTGCTGTTTAAAACTAGTCTAGAGCGGCATCTGCTGTCCAAAACTAGCCTAGAGTGGCATCTGCTCAGCAAAACTAGCCTAGAGCACTGACTGCTCTATAAAAAGAAACTAGCCTAGACAGACATCTGCTGTTGAAAAACTAGCCTAGAGCTCCTTCCAAAGTGCCGTACGCTGTTAAAAACTAGCCTAGAGCACTGTCTGCTGTTCAAAATAGAGTGGCATCTACTCTTCAAAACTAGTCTAGAGCACCATCTGCTGTTTAAAACTAGTCTAGAGCAGCATCTGCTGTCCAAAGCTAGCCTAGAGTGGTATCTGCTCTTCAAAACTAGTCTAGAGCACCGCCTACTGTTCAAAACACCCATCTGCTCTTCAAAACTAGTCTAGAGTGCCATCTGTAGTTTAAAAACTAGCCTAGAGTGGTGTGTGCTGTTCAAAACTAGTCTAGAGCACCATCTGCTGTCCAAAACTAGTCTAGAGCAGCTTCTAATGTTCAAAACTAGTCTAGAACACCCATCTGCTCTTCAAAACTAGTCCAGAGCACCATCTGCTGTCAAAAACTATCCTAGAGTGGCATCTGCTCTTCAACACTAGTCTAAAGCACGATCTACTGTTCAATACTAGTCTAGAGCACCATCTGCTGTCCAAAACTAGCCTAGAGTGGCATCTGCTCTTCAAAACTAGCCTATAGCAACGTCTAATGTTCAAAACTAGTCTAGAACACCCATTGGCTCTTCAAAACTAGTCTAGAGTGCCATCTGTTTTTTAAAAACTAGCCTATAGTGGTGTGTGCTGTTCAATACTAGCCTAGAGCATCGTCTACTGTTTAAAACTAGCCTAGAGCGCCATCAGCAGTACAAAAACTAGCCTAGAGCGCCGTCTGCTTTTAAATACTAGCCTAGAGCACCGTCTGCTGTTACAAGTTAGCCTAGAGCACTGTCTGTTGTTAAAAACTAGCCTAGAGTGCCATCTACTTTTCAAAACTAAACTCAGAATTGATAGAAGAACGAATATCGAAGCATTATGAAAATGAATGTGATCATTATGATTTTTCAGCACAGTTCTGGTCAAGAATATCTGCTGGAGTTCAAACTGAGCATCACACCAGAGAAGAAACGTGATTTATGAGACTTTGAACATGGTTGTTGATGCTTAAATCCTAAATCTAATGCTCAAATATGTTTACTTTAACTTGACGAGAGTTACTTCTCTTATACTGAATGTGTAAAACTGTAATAAAGTGTCCAGTGAGTGTATTTAGGTGTATTTAAATGCATGAGACTCACACGCCCTCCTCCTTGGCGATCTCAGCCAGAATGATGGGGGTGGACTGAGACTTGCGGTTTTCATCCACTGCAACAGAATGACACATTAAACATTTTTTTATATTTTATAGTAATGGTTTATTATAGTAAAATTAACATATGAAGAGAAAACCTGAAACTTGTATCTTGTATAACCTGCTATATATATATATACATATATATATATATATATATATATATATATATATATATATATATATATATATATATATATATATATATATATATATATATATATATATATATATATATATATATATATATATATATATATATATATATATATATATATATATATATATATATATATACATACACACACATACACACACACATATATATATATATATATATATATATATATATATATATATATATATATATATATATATATATATATATATATATATATATATATATATATATATATATACATATATATATATACACATATATATATATATCTATATATATATATATATATATATATATATAGATCTATATATATATATATATATATATATATAT